CTATAATATAAAGGATTAATGAATGTGCATCTTTCAAATTAATGCATTTTATTCTACAGAAAGCTTAAGATTGCTGTCAGTGACTGGAAGCAACTCAACACTGCATGAAGAACACAGCCATTTAGAAGTGCTTTAACTATATGTTTATGGGTTCAGTATCTTTAACCTGCATGTGAGGATTGTGCTAAGGGATTTATGTTTATGTTTTGATTTGTTTGTTTAAATTAATTGTATTGTGGAGGATTGTTTGTACTAAATAAAAAAATTTCTGTGCTGCAGAAGAATGTTCCCTGGATAACAAACTATTATGTCGGAGATCTGTATCAATGTCCTCCCCAATCAGATTCCAGGCACATCCCATTTTCCTGGCCTTGCTTTAAGTTAGGAGAAGAGGAAGATGCATACTAAATTTGGTGATCCTAGCTCTTACTGTTTAGGAGGAGGAATTTGATGGATGAACTCTTGGACAGAAAGATGCACAAATTCTCTAAGGATATGTCTACACTACGGGATAAGGTTGAATTAAGATACGCAACTTCAGCTACGTTAATTGCGCAGCAGAAGTCGACGTACCTTAACTCGGCTTTTGGTGCTGTCTACACTGCAGGAAGTCGAAGGGAGAACACTTACTCCTTGTCGAAGCAGGACTACCGGCATCGACTGGAGTGTCCCTCTCAGTTCCAATAAGCTGTCTTCACTAGACCGCTAATTTAAAAACTGAAAGATTGATGGTGGCAGTTTCCATATTCGCTGTAGTGTAGATATACCCTAAAACAGGTTGATAGATATAATGCAGGGTATTATGACAAAAAATAATGTTCCAGAGTTTTTACTCTGCGTAAAGTGAGGAAAAATACAAATCTGTGCTAGATTGAATATATCTTCATAAATGTCTACAGAAATGGATTGTATTACAGTCAGTCAGAATTCTATCTGAATATACTCAAGGTACACAATCTTCTTATATACCTGGTTTTATGCAAGGGTGGTAGATTAAATGATTTCATAATATGGGTATACCTAATTCCATTTTGCAATATTCTACAGGTTTGAGACATTGTCCCTATACTAAAATAGTAGACCAGGCAGAAGAAATATTTCTAAAAACAGAATTAACTTTTTACATGCCACTGTAATAAGTCTTCATTTAAGTGTTTAAATTACTAGACTTCTCTATTCAGGTCAATGAAAACATTTAATGCATTCATAGTTTAGGCAATAAAGAACACTATTAAGTTGTGGGGTAAGCAGATACAACTCCCAATATTGCACCACACAAAAACCCTTTCCTATTTGTGCATAATATTGCACAAAATAGAAATCCTACGCTTTCTAAATTTGTACCTACCAGAATTTATCAAATAATTTGTCAATAAATTTAATTGGTGAATTATGCAATATTCCCAAGCTTTTTTTTCTGTTACTCATCCAGCTCTAGTATCTATCTATGTATGATAATGCCACAACAAATGCATGTCCATGTGTAACAAGCAACATAATTTTAATGCCTCAGACATGCACTCTTTACTAAAGTATACAACAAAAATGCTACACAATGTGAGTGAATACCAAACTTTGTAACAATACCATATCAAGAAATCATAGTGTCTTAATTTGCCTATCTACCCACAAATGTACCTATAAATGCCCATTGAAAAACTACAAATTCTTGTTCACTAAACTGTGATCTCAAAATACTCTCTCATTTAAATTGCTAATTGTGATTTTTTAGAAAACTAACAGTATATAGAATTAAAAAGTTTGACATAATATAATATTTTAAAGATTACTGTTAATGAATTAGATATCTGAGGTATAGATCAATAATGCAAAGACTTAAACTAATAACCTTCCACAAATAGAGAATGAGAGGGACTTAATTATTTAAACCCTAGTAAAATACAAAGTATTTGTTTAAAATCTTCTTTACAAACCCCTATAATCTCTATTTTGAATACAAAATAGTTGGCTCAGCCTGCCTTTTTCTAGCATACACACGAATGTATTTAATATTCTAAGTTTGACTTCTTTGACATTCCTAATTAAACAAACAAAACATTTAATAAATGAATATAATTGCTTTTAAACTAATACATGTATAATGAGCCACAAACTAGCACAATGCAACATATAAGTGGAATATTTATAATTATAGACTTTATCAATAATAAAGTGCACCAACTGTGCACATATCTGACTTTTAAGAGAAACAAGAATGCTAATCAGTTCATTAGAGACTTCTCGGTTGTGATATTTAGCGACAGGATGTAATAGCTGGCTTGTCCACGGAGCATAATTGTACTCAGGATGAAAAATTGTTTCCAACAAAGCACCATCCTTCCTGTTTCAGATTTCCTGCTGGCTGCTTTTTATGAACTGCATACTTTCAAGATATCAGCATCATTCAGCTTCCCTATCACAGAAATAAAAGTAAAGATAGGTCCAGACTTCATCATGCTGTGTGGGGTTCTATAACCTTTACATCAAGCCTCCTTTGCTTTAGTAATTCATTGTAGCTTCTGTTTTTCTGAAAGTGGGCTTCTCCAATTAGCATGCTCAGAGGCATTACCAGAAACCATACACAAGTTCACTTTTCCTAAATTACTACCTGTCTACAGGGAGAGTTAATAGGTGAAGCTAACTACTTCAGTTAGCAGTATTTACTGATCAAAATAACAGTTAAAATGTCACATTTGGATATTCTAATATGGGAAAATAATTGGAAAAATGATCATGACATGCTCTGTACCAACAAACTTCTTATAATGCCAAACAAGACAAACAGTCCACAGTATATGTAACTTAAGGGAATAAAAGAATATGTTACACTTATTACAACATACTATTTTTATTGACTCTCAGAGTAGTAAAAAAATCACATTGTTGTCTATATTATTAGCAGTCTCAAGTATAATGCTTTTTAATGTATTGACTTATCAAATATTCATAATGTAACAAATGTATCCAAGTAATTCTTTTATAAGAATAATCAATACTAATCCACTGAAAGAAAAGTAGCATGACTCTGCTATATCACATGCTCGCCTATTCTCAGACGCTCACACACAATGGGAGCTATATAAAACCCTACTGTGTAGTCTGTGCTATTTTAAATTTGCTAGGAAAAGGTTTTACAAACTACATTGCTCCCTTATTTGCCTAACCATATGCTTGCTCAATAATTCTCACATTCTGATTGCATGTTTTTCTCCTACCATACTGTAAACATCACTTATTCTCTATCCACCAGAAGTCTCTAATCCCAAGCCTATTTATTGCTTAAAACTAGCACTGATAACAAAATAATTTATGTACATTAACTTTTCACTTAAAATTTTTCTCACTCTTGTTGGGGAAACTTTTCTGAATGGGAATGGAAGCAGTGTTCTCTTGAGTCTTCAGACACTGAAACAGTAGCATGAAGGTGTGAACTACTCCATTTATCTCCATAGTTAAGTCCCAAGCATAAATATGGCATTATAATAGTCAACACAGTTAACTATCTCAGTGTTTATCATTTTAACAGAAATTTCCAACAAATGTGGGTATTTTAGATCGAGAAAAATGCTTCCCATTCTCTATCAGTTTCAAATATATGGCTGAAGAGAGGAGCCTTGCAGTGTTGTCTGTCTTGCCTTAGGATCTTTAAACAAACCTTTATCCACTGGAGTGATGAAAAATGACTTTCTGTTCAGTTTCCTTGTTGCTACTTAGAATATGGAAGCAGATCAGAAATCATAAGGATTCACTAGGATGACTTACCTCCAATTCAGAAAATGAAATTTAGAAATACAAAATGAGTTTCCCCTGAATTTTTGCACTTTGCCTGAAAGATTGTTGTTGTGATTGAAAAAAATTGTCTCTTT